ATGCTGTCAAATCTGAGGACGGGATGTTCCACATCCATTTTGGTATGCGGAATACTACACATGCTGGCTCTGAGGATTGTGATGTCATGCATGATGAACATTGTTTTCTGTGTTCATCTTTGCATGGGAACTGCACCGGAGGCGTCTGGTCGTCCGGTGTGTTTCCACCATACCATACCATATCTTTCCAAGCTTCCGCCCTCGGATCATTCTTGCATCACTCATATTTCCATCATGATTAGCTACGAAAGTATCTAATGCAATCGACCAAGTCATACCTTTAGGAAATGGTGCAATTGATTGCTCACACCCCTTTCCGGCAATATCCATAGCATCAGAAAAATTGCTGTGGATGAGCTTGTGAGTACATTGATAATTGCATGTATTATGGCCATAGGGAAAGTGTTTTGGGTGATCATGCCTCACAACATGCAAGCAAGCATTAAATTAGAAATGCATATATCTCGTAATCTATCTATCTATCTTTTCTGGTAGCCATATGCACCTACCCCAACTTAAAAGAGTAATCTATCTTGTTTTCTAATTTGGCTAGCACAGCAGTATCACAGCTACCTTCAACTAAAAGAGTCATAGATCTATCATGAATCATTCTGATTGCCCTTCTCTACTTTAAACAGTCCACATTAACTTTATACTTTGCTGGATCTATCATACCTTTTTCATTTCTCCTCTTCTTTTTATAAACTGATAGGAATCCATGAACCTTGTTTTCACCTTCTTGTTGAATAATTTATACAACATCATGAAAAATTCTGCTTTGAGGAACTTCATGCTAATGATTTTACCTACTAGTAGAATCTTAGTTTTGCACTACCAACAATTTGATTAAAATAGATGGGCAGAAAATTTGAAAGCAAAAATATCATAGCATAACAAATAGTCATTTGTTGTAAGTTCTTTGCCACTCGGTACAAGTTCATGTAACCTCCCCAACACACCTAGAATTTTCCTTCTATTACAATAATAGCTAGTAAATGCCTATCTGTATATCTCTGGAAAAAGGCAGCAGCTTAAGCTTGTCAATCTTGGAGGGAAAAACAATATATAGTTGGTAAATACATATATGTCAAAGACACATGGATCAAAAAGGTAATCTATTATCTTCTTCATATGTGACCAAAGAAGGAAAAGACAGCCATGCAAACTTATCAAAGAAATTAAAAGTTCCTCATTCTATCTACTCATTTATAATTTGTATGAAAAAAGAGGATAGCAAACCACCACAAACCTTGAGCCACTGTGAGATTACTGAACTAAATGAGCAGATGTTTCTATGCAGTGTTAGAATGTGACTGTAAGTGTGCAGCTTGGTGACAATGGCATGGCCACAAGACCTCAGATTCTAATCTCAGGTCCTTTTAATTGTGGTAATTCAGTGCCACCATCACTAGAAGATAAAAGAAAAGCTGATGGAGGTGGAGAAGAAAATGCAGCTAACGCAGCAATACTTACAGCCCCAATGAAGGTAGAGTGTGATGAGCCATCAAACAGAATAAAAGCAGACTTCCCGCAGATAACCCTTACAAGTTGGCTTGCAGGGAAAACAATGATTGCTTCATTGGCAGTCTTCCCCAATCCATATTGTTGCCTCAAAGAAGTTATATTCTCGACAGGGCCTTGGAACAAGTAAAACACATCATCCACAACAGCAAATAATCTGCAGACAGGGAAGAACAATGATCAACTAATGTTGTTGGTGACACCAAATAACACAAACAATATAAAGTCTAGCTCAGGCAAGGTTGTCAAAGATCTTGTTCCTCAAGTGTCAATTAGAAGCAGAAGAAATATTCCTTAACATCAGAGATTTAATATAGCTCAGGAAGTCAAAATATACAGAATACAGAGAATTCAATTAACTGATGAATGAATGACTCTCATTTTTTCCCTTTAAAAAGAATTTTTTTTCTGAAAAGGTCTTCATTCTAAAAAGCTAAGCAATAACTACATCTTTAGACAGAAGCTCCCTCAACTCCTGAGAGAGAGAGAGAGAGAGAGAGAGAGAGAGAGAGAGAGAGACCTCATGGTCACCTTATTCACAGTAAATTTGCTTGTTTTGTCATTCAATGAAACAGTAACTCGAGACTCTCCCCATACATGCTCGAGTCTCCAATGAACCTGATGTCTTCTGCCAACAAATTAAAGTCAGTGATGAATCTACCTATTTCAGGTACCTTCTGAACCACATTTGGACAGTCAGATCGAAACTCCGGATCATCTATCTCAGTATCTGAAGCAAAATTGAAGGCCCATCTGAGACCTATATCTTCAACTTCCTCTTCAATGTAGCATCCCCCAGTCCTTTTCTAAATGCTGAATAACGTAATGATCCCAATCCACACCTTTCTATTAGGAAATGCTACGGCATTTACATTGACTCTGTAATTTCCCTCTTCCAGTTTCATCCAATTCTCCATTCACCATTTATCTTCGTATATTCGTATAGAGTCTTTAACATAGGACATTATTCCATCTTCCGAGGATGCCCGGAAGAAATTGCGGTGACAGGGCAAATCTTGCTTTTTGCGTTTAATCCAATTCTCCATCAAACTAAAGGTTCCTTCATCTAATTTTAAAGAAAGGGACGAACAATCCACAACAAATAGATCAAAAGATCAACAAAGAAGAAGAAGAAGAAGAAGAAGAAGAAGAAGTAATATGTCGATGGAAGGTTTCAATCTTGATCTCTCATACCTTGGAAAAAGAGGGTCCTGCCTCTCGGACGTCTAGGCCATGGCCTTCCGCGCGGCCGCGAAGTGACCCATCAACCGGCCACCGCCCTCAACCACAAGCGACGGCCGGTCCCATCGGACCCTTGGCAACCGTCCGATCGAACACTGCCAACATCTTGGCCGTCAACCAGACCCAATCACGATCTTGATGAGCGTCGCCGGTCACTCTCGCTTTTATGCTTCTCCGTCGCGAGGAGCGCTTAAAAAAAGAACTGATGTTCCAGATTTGCACTCGCCCATAATGTATAATTACCACCATCAGTTCGGCAGAAAAGTTTGTCCTCTTCGAGGGTGCGGGGTATTTTAGTTATTTTAACGTAATAACGAAGTCAGTTCTTATGATACCGGACCCACGTCAGTTCTTATGGTACTCGAGAAGGCCTAGAAAATATCATGGCCGGGTCTGTCAATGGGCCAAACGGGCCGTCTATCGAAACAGGCATATTGGATACGCATAACCTATTTCCTCGGAAATTATCATGGGCTATATATATATATATATATAGTTATTCTTTTTCTGTAGAAAATAGTGGATATAATGATCTTAATATTCAACTTGATCAAGGAAGGCATCCAACATGTTTCCTTCTCATGTCCCACCAACACCCATTTCTCCACGGCTTGGTACGGAAGCAGACACATAAGGTGGCAAGCAGTCGCTTATGCTGCAAGAGGTTGACACCACCACACACATCAAAGAATGCATGCATGACCGGTCCACGCGACTGACTGATGTGCATCCCTGTTTCAAGATGTTGAGTGTGGTAAGACCACAAAACTGGCAGGAGGAGGGAGAGGGAGTGGTTGGGTACTGGACTCCGTGCATTTATTATCAGAGTACTGAGACAGCGCTTTGGAAGCCAGCAAACATGTAGCTGCATGCCTTTGCACCATTTGGTAGGATCTGTACAACCTTTACGATAGGCCATGCCAGATGAGGTGACCCTTTACGTAGCCCTCAATAAGCTTACTATTGGGTGGCAGAATATGAACCCTGCTCGACCTTTTCTCATGTATAGAGTGGCCCGTGTAGTCGTCTTCCTACGCAAGCCATCTCTCTAATCTATAGAATTCCCTACTTCGAAGCACGTACGTAAGAAGATCATTGAACTCCAAGATGCTGATTAAAAGGAAGCACGAATCCCACGGTGAGCAGGAGGAAGACGATGAGTTGGAGCTGCTGCGCGCCGTACAATAGCAGATGCGAACTCTTTGATATGGTTCGGCAGCACGGTGCGAGGCTCGGTATCCGTCGCAATCCTTGTGGATTTGCCGGTGCCTCTTCTCTGCACAGAGAGAGAGAGAGAGAGAGAGAGACCCCTCGTGGGGCTTAATAACTCGTAGAGAGAGAGAGAGAGCCCCCTCGTGGGGCGCAATAATTCGTTTACCCTTCTTTTCTTCTCTGTGTGTGCGCCATGTGACAGGTGGAGGTCCTGCGAGGAAGGGAGGACGCTCCACACGGGTGAAAGTTACAGCTCCTCCTTTCTTTCCTTCTTTCTTCTCTCTGTTCCTCGACGAGACGCCGTCCTCTTCCTCTCGCCCCTGCCACTTCCGCTGCTATGAAAAGTCTCAATGCTTGGACTGCACCGAAACATCATCGGATTCAACCCAGCTCGACACATCTCAAAAGAGTGTTTCAAGGCAGGCGCATGCGATCAGAAGACAAATGCGAGGATTTTGCGGGAAAAGCTTAATTCTATGGGAGCTGGGACACGATGATCCAATATCCATCACCTTGTCAAAGTCCAATCAAACAACTTAAAGACAAAATTATGCACATATTAATATACAAGATAAACAAATGAATTTAAAAGGTCGTGCGTGATGATGGCCAATTACTTTTCCTCTGGATTTTAAAGAGGATAGATATGATTTGGATCTTTCTTTTTGGGGCCTAATCGGCGTAGACAAGGCTTGACCTGAAAAGACCTTTTCCCAGCAGATTTGGTCCCACAACAACACGGTCACTGTCGTTTGGGAACGACCCCATCATGACCACTTAGAGATCAAATCCTCCTCCTTCCAACACCACTGGTTGCAGCTCCGAGAGCCAGCAAGACCATGGCATGTCATTAGATTATCCCATATTAAACCCCATGCAAGCAAAGAGGCAGAGGCAAGGGGCGAGGCAGTACAGCGGCAGTAACAGGAAAGCGCAGCAACAGAGGGTATTATTTAGTAATCTCACCCTACCCCCATTCCCCAAAGCTCTGTGCCTCTGCAGGTCCTCTCCCCAGATTGGAAAAGAACACCATCTCTGCCACCACCCCCCCCAACCCCTTGACATCCTCTCTCTCTCTCTCTCTCCTTCTCTGTCTCTGTCGCTGTCCCTGTGCTGCTGCGACGCAGAGCTCGGCAATGGGCGTTCTGCGCCACCTCCGGCTGTCTGCTGCCTTAGCCGTCTTCATCTTCGCGGCTGTTCTTGGTGAGAGTGCCGAGTGCCGACCCGTGCTAACCTTTCTAAATCGTAGTGTTGCTGTGACGAGCTGCTTTTTGCTCCGCTTAGCGATGGCTTCAGCATGGAAATGCCACCGTTTGGCATGCGTGATCGTACGCAAGATCTCTCCTTTCTTTCTTCCTTCCACCTAGGAATCAATCCACTTACTTTTTGGCTGTGTTCAGCGACCATCTTCTGATCTCCTTGTGGTCCAAGGTTTTCCATAAAAGAATCAGCCACTGACTGCTCCTTTTCTTCTTATTGCTTCCCAAAACGAAGAACAAATCACCAAAGCTAGCAACCATTCTTGCCCTTTTTCCTGCACAATCCCTCTTTTTATGCTCTCACCGCTCGTGTTATTTTTAGCTCCGCTAATCTGTCGGTGTCCTTCTGATGTCGATGTACAGGGAGCGCATTGGTGGGAATCGCGCAGGAAATGGGAGACGCAAGGCTTCGACCTCGGGAACGGGAGCGAGTGGTGGCTCGGAGGCTCCTCCTCGGCCTCGGGTCGTCGCCGCCGACATGCCGGGCTCGTTGCGGCCGCTGCTTCCCCTGTCGGCCGGTCCACGTGGCCATCCATCCTGGCCGGAACCTCCCGCTCGAGTACTACCCGGAGGCATGGCGATGCAAATGCGGCAACAACCTCTTCATGCCCTGAGACCAACGACAGAATCCCAGAAGGAGAAATGGAGAATGACAAAAAGCCATTGGCTTCCACCATTGATGAGTTCTCTGTAACATTTTGTGGACATCTAAGCGTACGCGATTCGAATCTGCCATGCTCGGCCTTCTTTGCGGCAATATATAGTTTTTTAGACGTTATAATGTTCCTTCGCCTATACTTAATATATATGTTACAGGTAAAAACGCTACGTTTTACGATGGACTGATTACGAGTCAGGTTTCTTCTCTCTCCACCGCACTGTCTCAAGACCTGGACATGAATCTCTTCCCTCGTAGTTCGGAGGTGGGTCGGGCTTAAGTCCCGATGATACCAAACTAAGAGGAGGTCTCTTTGTTTAACGAAGCCATGGCTGGTTGTGTTCAGTCTTTCATTTAAATATTATTTTTTCGAAAGAAAATAATAGGATATCAAT